GGGGGGGGGATGCGCCACGGAAGAGGGCGGGGGGGTGCAAGTAGCTGGTCTTGCCTAGGGCGCAAAATAGTCTAAAACCGGCCCTGGCTACACACACTATATTGCTAAAAGTATTGGGCCCCTCCCCCTCCAAATCATTGGATTCATGTGTATCCGTGACATTTCCCGGCTACTAAATATTCCGCGGTCACCTGTTAGCGGTATTATAAGAAAGTGGGAACAACAGCATGCGTCGTCGTATGTGTCGCTAGTAGGCCACGGATAAGCGTCACCCTCCTGGTAGTCTCGGTTGACCTGACCAGACTCATCCCGCTTGATCTGGTTTTGTCTGTCTGGGTGCGTGGTCAGGTTGCCGTCCCTCTCTGTCAGATCGCCCAATGATTCTTCTTCGTCAGTGTTGGCTTTTCCTTGGACGGCAGCAATCTCCACGACTGAACCTGGCGGGGTTTTACTTTCACTTTCTCAATGACCCGCCAGCGCGACGTCTGGCGAATTCCGAGCTGTGACTTCGCACAGAGTCCAGTGCGTTACTAAGCCCAGAGTCCAGTGCGTTACTAAGCCCAGAGTCCAGTGCGTTACTAAGCCCAGAGTCCAGTGCGTTACTAAGCCCAGAGTCCAGTGCGTTACTAAGCCCAGATTCCAGTGCGTTACTAAGCCCAGATTCCAGTGCGTTACTAAGCCCAGATTCCAGTGCGTTACTAAGCCCAGAGTCCAGCGCGTTACTAAGCCCAGAGTCCAGCGCGTTACTAAGCCTAGAGTCCAGTGCGTTACTAAGCCCACATATACCTATATACATGCTATACATGGCATAAAGGTAACAAATTATATATGGAGTGTTATCTTCATTTTAGATGTCAAAGGGGTTTTGTGGCCCCCGGTGTTCTCTATTCTGTGGGAAACGGGTCCAAATGGCTCTCTGAGCGTTCAAGGTTGCTGACCCCCGATATAACAGATCAGCCACGGTGTCAGGGCCAAAAGGATCTCGCCATCTTCTGAGGGAAATAACATCACCTCAGTTTTACCCGCGCCGTCTCGACTTCCGCTTGCTCGTGTCTTCGACGGGTTCTCGGTTGTATAAGATAAAGGCCCTTTGTTTAGCGCGATCATGCGAGGAATGCAAACCGACACACACGCGCGCACCAGAGGACCTTCGGAAGGGGGCCAGTTTTAGCTGAAACCGGGACTTAGTTTACAGTTTGGTAAAAAAAGAAAAGACAAAGTGGTTGAGAAATAAAATGGAGGACGGAGAATTTCACGTATATGCGTTCTATGGCACGCGCTGTGTCTGAGGATTAGATGCGCTTCTGTTTTCCACGAGTGCTTGTTCACTCAATACCCCCCCCGGTCCGTCGTGTGTGGATGTGTATCCCAGCAAGTGATGAAGGCCCTTATTCCAGGGAGGAGATCTCTTCTCCCACGGGAATGTATGGCAGGTTCCTAGGGTTGCCACCTGTCCAGGATTCACCCGGACAGTCCGGGTTTTGAATGCTGTGTCCGGGTTTCATGGCAGCAGAAACCTGGACACATGATGTCAGGCAGACGGGGGCAACCAAAATTAAGATAGGGGCTACTGCCCCCCCACTAAAGATAGTCTCAACAACTCATTCTCCCAAGACAAAATGTCCGCGCGTCGCTAGTGTTCGGGTTTCACTTGAAGAAAAGGTGGCAACCCTACAGGTTCCGCCAGTCAACAAGTCCGATGTGTAACCCACCGGACTTCAAGGGGTGTACCGGAGGACGGGAGTGTGATGGGCTACACATCGGACTTGTCATAATGGATGTAACACAACAGAAATCTAAACCAGGAGACAGCAGGCAGAAAGCTGAAACCTAACTGACCCTGCGTTATTTATACTCTCCACAAGGTGGGGGAGCTCACTTATAGAGCGTGGAACGCACAGACAGGAAGTGATGTATGAAACAAACAGGAAGTACTGGATCAGAGGTGAGTTGGGAGGAAGTAGAGAGAGAGGAGACATTGCTCGAAGTGGCAGCAGAGGAGGTAAGAAGATATTATTTTATGTTTACACCCGGTAAATATAGAGCCATTTATGCAACCGTCCATCCAGAGCCGCCATTTATAGACCGGATACATCCTAAATATAGAGCCATTTATCCAACTGTCCATCCAGAGCCGCCATTTATAGACCGGATACATCCTAAATATAAAGCCATTGATCCATCTTCCATGATGCTGTCTCGGGGTTGTTGGCTCTCTATAATGGACACCAGGTCTTCTCTGGAGGAGGATATGAAGAGGAAGAAGACGGATCTTGCTGATGCTGCAAGTCTGAAGTATGGCGTAGTGGAGGGTTGTTGGTTCTCTTTGGCTCTTCCCCGTAACCTGCATGGTTGTCCTGTCTGTGTCACATGAGCCTCATTGACAGTCCTGATGCCCCCAGACCTAGTTTGGTGTAGTTGGCTGTCAGGGTGATATCAATGTGTTCAGACCAGTCCAAGGGTAAGAACACTCTCACACCTTTCTGTATTAGGAGAACAGAAACTGGATAGGGCTTCAGAAACGTCTTCCTCTCCTCTTCTACATAACATGCAGGGGTAGAGTTCTGTAGTCCACAGAGATAGCTGGGAGCAATGGAACTGATAACAATGCAGCACTGGATGTTTTCCAGGAAGGTCACCGGGTATTTTTTGCACAACAAAAAACTAAACAAAAATAACCAAAAACATTAAATATTATCTTGAAGAGAGCAAATGGGCAAAGGTCATAGTTGGGTCTCTAGTCATGGTCTTGGGTCTTGGTGAGATTACTGAGGCCGAAGAAGGTGACGGAACAATGGGGAACGTTGTGTAGATATTACTCAACCCGGTAGTCCAGAAAAGTCTCACTTTATAATTTGTCTGCAGAGAGGAGCTTCCTGAATAGATCACATGACCTCATCAATGAACATGGAGAAAGGCCAAAGTCATGTGACTGTGAAGATATTGGACCTCACCCTGGAGGTCATCTACCTGCTGACCGGAGAGGTGAGGAGGATTCTGAGAGGATGACGTGAAATTCGACTTGTACCCATAATTAAAACATAGACCTGACTGGAACGGTCAGGAGGATTCTGGGAAGTCTGAGGTTATAATTGTTACTTCTTTTTTACTCAGGAGCATAAAGTGGTGAAGAAAATATCTGGTGATCCATTAACACCTAGTAGCTTCCTTCATGGGACATCACCCATCACGGGGCCTCCGCCTCACTGCCTGACAACAGAGGTGAACAGAGCCAAGAAGATCCTAGAAGTCATCCAATGTATTCCCAGGAACATCATGAGATCCCTCAGGCCCATCCTCTGTATTCCCAGGAACATCATGAGATCCCTCAGAAAGATCACGAGGTCCCTCACTATGATCAGGTAGATGGGACTGAGCATATAGACATGAAAACATATGAGAGGACATTCTCTTATGTGATCACTTGTTCCTTTTTATAAATGTGTTCCATCATCTTTGGTGTTTAGGGTGAAGAACTGGAAGACATCAAAGCTGAGGGCAAAGAAGAAGAGGAGACGTTGGTGAGTGGAGCTCAGCAGTCTATGGAGGAGGGGGAGATGATCGAGCAAAGTAAACAGGTGGAATCTTCTCTACATATGGACACCAGTAAGTCATAGAAACCAAATACAGTAACAATTCCCATTTTCATGTTACATTGATGAATATAAAGTGTCTTACTATTGAGGGTCACAGGAAGTCTTTCACTTTTGGGTTATGCTACCACCTACAGGAGGATTGGACATTGGCAAACAAGAACTCTGTGTGTACCTTCTACTACCAGCATGCTTTTCTTACGAGTGTCCTTGGAGGATGGTGTCTTTTCCTCAGTATAAAACACTAACCTCCAGTTGCTAGCCTCATTTTTTTTTCTTACCCTTCAACATGTTTTCTTCAACCGAAACTCTTCTCTCCATTGCTGCTAGAGTTTTCTTTGATCGCAGCTCTCGGGCCTAACCATCCTCAGCCTGGCTGGTGGAGTGCCGCAGAGCCCTTTCTAGGTTCAGATCTGCCGGCGATGGACTCCCTTTGTGAGTTGGCCGGTTGTACTGAGCTCCGGGAGTTACCTGAAGCACTGGACACCTTTAAAATTAAAATGTTTCCACTGGTTTCCATCGTGGAAGGGGTTAACGAGGTGGGACTGAGCGTTGATGTCATCTGCTGGGCACTCTAGTTTCCGCTCTACAGCTTTAAGAAAACATCTCCCCGCTGCGCCTCTTGTTTGCAAGCCGCGTGGAGCTTGGATTTTCCATCTGTTCCTGCTACTCCCCTACAGCAACGTTGGTCTCCTCTGGCCATCCAACCTTCTACACCTATCTGGGCTTTGTGGTCACCTGAGGTCTTGCCTCATACCCTCAGCCTTGTTTTGCCTTACCGCCACGTGGTCACAGCATGAGGAAATAATCTTTCCATGAGGAAACAAATGAAGACACTAAACTGCTGAGAGTAAGAACGTCATCAACGTACCCATCGTGAGGAAAAGTCCTTTCCCTGAGGAATCAATTGAGGAAATGAAACGCCTCACAGTAAGAAAGTCGTCAACGTACCCACCATGAGGAAAATTCCCTTTCATGCGGAAATTATGTTTCCATGAGGAAAGAAATGAAGAAACAAAACTTCCGACAGTAAGAACGTCATCAATGTATCTCACCACCCACGAATTTCGGAATGGGAAATTTGGATTCGTTTGCATTCGTCATATCTGTAATTTGGATACATCCGAATTTTTGTCCGAATTTCGATTCGAAACGAATCGCACGTCTCTAGAAATCAATGTGTGCTGGCAGATGGTCACATGACCCCCAGTGTCCCCAATATGGGGACAATGGTAGCGGCCATACAACCCGTACACACTAATATATACACTGTGACCGCCCACTCCCCACAGAATTGTGGGAAATGTTGCTCCTGACACTTTTAATCCATGTGCTCTGATCTCACGCTTCACTGACGAGACACACAGCTCTCACTCTCATGTTAGCTAAACCAGCATCTGGCCCTCCAGCTGTGGTGAAACCTCAAATCCCATCATGCCTCTGGGAGTCATGCCTGTGGCTTGCAATGCCTTATGGGATTTGTAGTTTCCGCACAGCTGGAGAGCCAAGGTTGCCTACCCCCTGGACTCGACACACATGTTAGCTAAACCAGCAACTGTTACTTCTATGGCAGCAGTAGCTAAACTCTGGCCCTCCAGCTGTGGTGAAACTACAAATCCCATCATGCCCCTGCCCCTGGAAGCCATTTCTGTGGCTATCAGATTCTTGCAATGACTTATGGGATTTTTAGTCCCGCCACAGCTAGAGGGCCAGAGTTTGGCTTCCCTTCACAAATGCGCACTGAGTCTGCTGCAGTACCGTTGCTCACCACTGGAGGGGGACACGCCATGATTTAGTTGGCTGGACACATACAGGGGCAGAGGTAAAGCTCTATTACCAGGTGGATGTTCTGGCCTCTTCTGATGCCAGCTTGGGCCGCATGGTTGCGTCACCCGAGTCTTGGGTTCTTGGCTCTTTGTTCTGTGGACTTTTTGAGGCCAAGTCTGTGCCCTGTACTGCACCCCAAGAAAATGATATGTTCTTGTTGTAGAAAAATGGGCGGAGCTTTATAAATAATTTGTTTTGCCTTCCTCTGGATCGGCCACGGGTATGGGGCTTCTATAGACAAACATTTCCCATGTTTGAATTTTCTTCATTGGTTGAACTCTTTGGGCTGTTTTCAACCTCGCTATGTTTTGTATCATTTTATCCGCTTTGTATTTATATCAACAGATCCGCCGAATCCCGAGGAAGCATCTTCCAGCCATGAAGGAGTTCACACGGGAGAGAGTTCATTGTCATGTTTGGAGTCCCAGAAATCATTCTCCAAATCGAAAGCGATTCTCACACATCAGAAAGCGCATACCAGTGACCGTCCCTATTCATGTTCCGAGTGCGGGAAATGTTTTACCGTGAAAGCAAAACTTCTCACCCATGTGAAAAGTCACACAGGCGAGAGCGCTTTCTTGTGTTTAGAGTCCGGTAAAGAGGATCTTGATAGGCAACAGAGAAGTCACAAAGATGAGCGCTCCTATTCCTGCTTAGAGTGCGGAAAAAGTTTCAAGCGTAAAACAAACGTTCTTGTACACCAGAGAATTCACACGGGTGAGCGCCCTTTTTCCTGTTCGGTGTGCGGGAAAAGTTTTACTCAAAAAGGCGTGCTACTTAGACATGAGGTAATTCACACAGGCAAGTATCCTTTTCCGTGTTTAGAGTGCGGAAAATGTTTCATTCAGAAAGGGGAACTCCTTAGACACCAGAGGATTCACACCGGTGAGCGCCCATTTTCCTGTTCAGACTGCGGGAAAACATTCACTCAGAAACATATACTACTTAGACATAAGGAAATCCACACAGGCAAATACCCTTTTTCATGTTTGGAGTGTGGGAAATGTTTCTTAAGGAAAGAAAGCCTTGTTGGACACCAGAAACTTCACAAGGATGAGTGTCTTTTTTCCTGTTCTGAGTGTGGGAAAAGTTTCACTGAGAAAGGAAATCTTTTAATACACTACAGAATTCATACAGGTGAGCATCCATTCTCATGTGCAGAGTGTGGGAAATGTTTCACCCAGAAAGGGGACCTTCTTATACACCAGAGAACTCACACGGGTGAGCGTCCTTATTCATGTTCAGAGTGTGGGAAAAGTTATACTCAAAAAGCAAAACTTCTTTCACACCAGCAAAGTCACACAGGCGAGCACCCTTTCTCGTGTTTAGAGTGCGGGCAATTTTTTCTTCAGAAAGAGACCCTTCTTAGACACCAGAGAAGTCACACTGGTGAGCGTCCCTATTCATGTTCAGAGTGCGGGAAAGGTTTTATACTTAAAACACACCTTCTTGTACACCAGAGAATTCACACAGACGAGCGTCCTTTTTCTTGCTCAGAGTGCGGGAAAGGTTTCCGTGAGAAAGCTAAGCTTCTTATACACCAGAGAATTCACACAGGTGAGCGCCCTTTCTCATGTTTAGAGTGTGGCAAAAATTTCATTCAGAAAGGGGACCTTCTTGTGCACCAGAGAATTCACACGGGTGAGCGTCCTTATGCCTGTTCAGAGTGTGGGAAATGTTTTGTTCAGAAAGCACAGTTTATTAGACACCAGAAAAGTCACACAGGCGAGCGCCCTTTCTCGTGTTTAGAGTGTGGGAAAGGTTTCATTCAGAAAGCAGACGTCATTCGACACCAGAAAATTCACAAAAATCTTTTGCAACCCTACAAGCCTGAGATTCTACAGGTGAGAGGCGGCATATAGAACTAAGTAATGTACATAGCGTGCAAAGGTACACGGGGGGGGGGGTCTGCTGAAATTAGTATTAGTGTGGATGGGGGGGGGCTGTCAGATAATGTGGTG